TGTTTTGTCGCAACATAGTGACAACGATCAGGGCTATCAGCTGAAATGGAACCGGTGGTCGCGTGGCCCCCGGATCCAGATTTACCCAGCCCTTCAAGCATCTTCTCGACCTCGGCAGCTGTTCCGCTTGGGAAGAGCCTGGCCTGGCGTCCAACACGGCGGCGAAGGTCTTGTTTCCTTCTGAAATGTCGGCGCCTTCCGAAAACATGTTGTTGAGAAATGTGCTCAAGTACTCGTCCAACTTCGGCATGGTCAGAACATGAATATCTGGGATCATCATGGCCCTCGCAAACTGAGCCACCCTGCGGGCATAGTCCTGTGCGACTTGTCCAGAGATTGCTGCTTGCTCCAAGAACGTCTGCCCCGGAAACCTTGGCAGCTGGCTTTTCTCGATGAGTTTCTGTCTCTTCGTGGCTCGCTCGGGCTTCGATGCTCCTTGCAAGGCTCGCCGAACTGTCGCTCGCCGATCCATCAGCGATGTGCCTGATGTTGGAGAGGCGGCCTTCAGACAAGGCACTTCCAAGTTGGCAACCTGCGGATCTGGATTGTTGTCGGCCACCTTCTTGCTTGAACCTCGCTTCGAGGCCTTTTCGTTCATGTTCCCATCTCCTCGAAGCATGATCTGACGGATTTAGTTCACTGGGGATCCAGCGGTGATAAACACTGCAGTTAGTTGCAACTAGCAGCGCACACAGCTTGCGGCAGGTAGCTAGCATTTGGAACGAGGCCGATCGTCCCTTCTCGCAGCACAACACATTGGCCAAGTTGTCATTCAAATGAAGATGCCGTCTACTGAAGTTTCTGACCAATCTGAGCTTGTGCTTAATTGCCGCAACGACCCCTCTGGACTCAAGAACCGTGATGGGCTCCGCATGTTGAAATCTGACGGCGAATAAATCATGCCAATCACAGCTATTCATGAATGATACAGGAATCTCCGCGAAGTCTGCATCAATGGCGAAAGGATCCTCTGGAAGCACTGCTTTCGGCTTCACTGTGTCAATATGGCTGAACGGGTCGAGTGGCTCATCCGATCCCAAGGCTCTTTGTCTGGGCGCCGAAAAATCTCTGGTCTTGAAACGCCACCCCTCATGTTGCCTCGAGAGCCGTGCAACCTCCTCTGAATCAGCAAGCCTGCAACTGACCGCCATTCCACTCAAAGAGGCATCGGAACTAGTGACCTGGTCATCCCAACCCCTCCGGAGGTCAGCATGGCAAACTTGCAACAGACTAGCTACCCATCCCGCTTCACGGGCAGCTGACTTCCAAAGTCGCCGCCTGGCGCGGTAGCTGGTCTGCACAAAATCATAGAGGCTCCGCATGCACGACAACATTTCCCGACGAAGCAACATGAAGTGGACCGCATGACCGATCAGCTTCTCAATCGCCCTGCCGTTCACCCTGGGGCGCCTGCTCAGCCATCGGAACGCAGCGATCACTCGCCCGACCTTTTCTGGAACAGGCTTGACGATGCCACTCACACCGTCCACGATAAATCCCAGCGAAGCCGCTGAGGTGCATGCATCAAGCTCTTCGTGAACGCCAAACCCGAGGGACCTAAGGTGTGATACGGCACCATCTTTCGCAGCTTGCACCCTTTCTGGACATGTGCCCGCGATGTTCAAGTTATCGGCGTATGCAATCACCAACGGCGTGCCATCCTCTAAGGATGGCGCCGGTTTGCCAGAGACCAGCAGCCGCTCTGATGTTAAACCTGCACCCCGTAGTGCTTGGAGCTGATGGACTCTTTGAGCCCAATACATGGCCCAGCTCCAACCCATCGGGATGACCCTGAAGCTTGGGAAGATCAGTCCTTCGCGGCCATGAGGAGGGCGATCTTGGACCGGAACACCCCAAGCATCCAAAGCCTCATAGGGAATGGCAGGTAAACTGAAATACGACCGAAGTTCGCCGGGTAGTTCCAGGGAGTAGAAATAGTCTGTGATATCACTTTGTGCAATATAGAGAGACTCATTGTTGGGAATTTCCACCTGTGCCCACGACGCTCCGGCCGCCATCATCATTGAGGGAGGTTGCTTGAATCGCTGATTTACACCACGGCAGTCCAAAACTAATCTGAGCTTGCCACTTTTCTTTGCGACAAAGAAGGGCGTGATAAGGTCCTGAGGGCTATCCGTGAAAGAAATCATGCCCCCCAAGAAGAGCTTGTGAACAAACTGCACATACTTTCCAGGGTCATTCTTTAGGACGATGTCCATGTATGGTTGCACCACGCTGCCACTCTCTACCTTCGTGCCCCATTCATCGGCTGAGATCATCATGTTCCCCACCGGGTCCTCCAAGATATCACGACCAAAGTCGTCCACCAGGTCCCGAAGTGGAGGCGGGCTGGACCCCACCTTGGGCAGAGAGACTAAGTCGGGGTTGTAAGGACGGACTGTCGTTTGTGCCTCCTCCGAGTAGGAGAGGCTGGATTGCAGAAGCGTTCTTGTCGCCTCACGCTCACTGTACATAGGAATGTCACTTGAGATCGAACCCACCTGTCTTAACAGCTCTCTCTGCACCTCAGATTGGGCTGAAGTCGGGGGGGCCGTCGTGCACGATAAGGACCCGGCTGGAGCCTACATGTCGTTCAGGGTGCCCAAGATGTCATTTGCCATACGAGCCCGGCCATTGAAGCGGGCAGCCCGACGTCTCTGTGAACAGCTCAAAGATTGCGCTGCAGGAGCTCGCTCGGCAATGTGGGGCAAAGGAAAAAGGTCTCTATGCCTATCGCTGCCCCCAAAACTTAAAAAACCCTTCGACTGCGAACCAAGTCCTGAATTGCTGGCCCAGGCAACCTTAGATCCATCCGGGCCATGGGGGGCTGGAAAACGGTTCCTGGCACCCGCCCCCAGCAGGTGCCACCACGTGCTTCATGTATGGGTGGCGCCTCCCCCATCTCCGCCTCCTTTCGGAGGCTTTCGTGGGTTACGGCGCCTAAGGTCTGCTTCTTCCCTGGCTTTCCGGGCCTCTTTGGAGATCGCTGCTTCGTTCTTCAGCTCCGTAGCCACATGTGCCGCTAAGCCTGCATCGACCCCTTGCCCAGATCTGCGATACTTCCATCCCATGAACAAGTCGGCCGCGGAGTAGTCCGGGGCCGATGGCGAGATTCTGTGTGCCTCCCTAATCACCTGCATCCGGCGCACCAGGAGTTCAGCCGATTGTAGGACCGGAGCATTGAGCTGATCGACAGTCAGCATCGACTCAAGGATCCGGGATAAACATTCATGTTCATACACGGAACGATCCCCCTTGGCCAGTTCAGATGATCGGATCCAGTACTCATGGAAGGTCGCCGGGGTGAAGTTTTGATCACGCATCATCTTGACCACGTTGATCAGTGACGCCGGGCCTTGCAACTGGAGGCCCCCACCTTGAGGAACTGTGTCATGTAGCAAAGAGGCGGCGCTATTGAACTCCCTCCGTCGAATCCCCTGCGCATCGAACTGCACCGGTAACACCCTGATATCGTCGAACCTGAGAAGCGGCACCTGATCGGGGAGCACCTTTTTTGCTGTGATGAAATCCGTCCCGGAAGGCACCAGTGCCCGAGTGCCCATGATGACATGGCCGAGTGGAAGAGGTCCAGGATCCACGGCAAGGACATCTCCACGTTTGATGTTGTCCCCGTCTTCGAGGGCAACCCATGTCGTGGGACCGCCTCCAGGCAATGGGGGTACCGCTCCACCGGCAGCCACTGCAGCTGCCGCCCCTTGAACGGCAGGGGCCGGGCCAGGTACAGCCGGAGGAGCCGCCACGTTAGTGAGTGAGTGAGTGAGTGAGTGAGTGTCGACCTGGGGTGCTCTCCGGCCTACGGAAACGGTCCTTGCCCCTCCGCATACGTCATCAGGGCTCCGGTGCAGAGTTCAACGCTCCGGGCCCCTCGATCCGAGCCGGGGATTAGGGGAGGGATGTGCCACCCGAACCTCCATGGGCCCGCCCCCCCAAGCCGGGCGGCTTGGGTTGGAATTGGACACTTGGCAAGACAGCCCACATCACAGGAACAAAGCTCTTCCCTCGATGATCTCTCACCGAAGTACTAAGCTGGGGACACTGGCTCAGAGAGGCGGGGCATTGGGGGGAGGGGTGGTCGACCAAACACGCACACACGCACAGCACCGGCAGCGAGACTAAGGGCAAAAGCACATTCAGCTAATGCCCTTGTGGCTGCAAATACTCGAACAGTGTCCCCTTGGCGTGTGGGACGATGCCTGATGCTGAGGGCATCACCCCTCGACCAAAGCCGCCACGTTAAGGCCTCGTCGTGCCCTCTCGGCGGCGGCTGCTTGCCTTCCGGCCCTCAAGAGATCTCCATATTGCCTGGCATCCATTGGCGCAAAAGAATACACCTGATTGACTGGCACCTGTCTAGGCACCCTACCATCTGACGCATGATACATTCGGCTGAAATCCCCATTGGATGGATCCATAAGTTCAGGGTAGATGTCCCGGTCCGGGGTAATGATCATCCATTCATCTCCATCCACCTGATCCGCCAGCAACCTAGTATGGAAAACTCCCGGATCTGCATGGTACTGCACATAGACCACGTCTCCAGCATTCATATCTATTGGTCAACAAGTTGTATGCCCTTTGAGGCTCCGAAGATTCCCTTGCCAGGTTTCCCCTTAACAGAGAAAGTGATCTCTCTGCCGCCTCCCTCTGCTTGTTGGAACGTGACCCTGAAGACCAATGCCAGATTTGTGCCCACGAGCACCAGCCCAAAGAGAAGAACCACCCAGAAGGATAAAGAATCCCTAGAAGACTGTTCAGCTCCGGCAGCCCAAGCACACTGACAATGACAGACGTTAGGTTCCGCCTTTGGCGGTTTGGATGCCGAGATCCACCAGCCAACGACCAATCCACTCAATCCCAAGGCAGCGTGTGAGGCATCCATGCTAGGATTTACTGCCCAAAGAAGCACTCGAGAGGAAAAGACAGCGGGTTTTCGCCAACTGTCATTACTGTGCACGCACTATACATTCGATGTGCCCAACCTCGTCATGGGTCCTGTCCACAGTGCAATGGCCGGCTTCGGCAAGAAGGCCAACGAGCGCCTGAGGCGCACTCGAGTGCTCGCAGTGCTCGTGTCTCCGCAGCTTCCCGAGCTTGGCCTGCCTCCAACCTCGAGATGTTCGGGGCCGTGGAGAACTGGAAGCGTCTCACGCGAGCCAGGAAAGCCCGAGATGCCTGCCACGGCGACGTCTGTGCACAGTCTGCACCCCCTCCAACACCTCGCTTTCTCCCACCAGCCTGCCAGCCATGCACCTGCGCCACGACTGAGGTCGCGGTGTCTGCCAAGGCCTCGCAAGGGTCTGCGCCCTGGCCGACTTCGTAGAGCTCCCGTGCACCGTCGCACCAGTCCACGGAGTCCACGCTTTCTCCGGCTTCAAGCTGTGCAAGCCTGAGCCTCTGAGACAGTGCCAGCACCTCCGCCACCTCCGCCTCCTCCGAAGACAGTAGATTTGGCTCGCCAGTGAAGACGCTCTTCAATCGGTGCGGGGATGCAGCAACGGGCCAGCCCTGCAGATAGAGCAGCGCACCTGAAAGTAGCGATCAACAGCATCAAGCGCAAAGCATCGACAACTCCACTACACCTTAGCACTTGCACGCCCCTTTCACTCTCCAGGATTGAGGAGCTGTAGTATTCGTCGGCTGGCCGCCTGACTCTTGCAATGCTGTTCCGCAGGCATTGGTCGAAGCCGGGCAGCAAAGAGAGCCTGGGCTCAGAGAGCTGCCCCAACCTCCAAAGTCAACCCCGTTAGGCAACTAGACTCGCAGGTTAAAAGAAGGATATGTATTGCACAGTGTGATGCGATGCAAACACCCGCTCGCTCGAGCTACCTCCGTCCGGGCTGCGATGCGCTTCGATGGCCTCTATAGACTTGTGTGGTGCGCGACAATTGCCCGACTCTCACATACGACCTTTAATTGCTGAGTTTTTTGCAATGGCAGGGTGCTAAACACCCAGAATCACTGCAATTCCTGCTGTTTTTCGGCAATACGTTGCCAGCCCTTGCCTTGGAAGCGCGAACTCAAAAAAGGAGCCGAGCCGCATCTGGTGTAAGACTTGGGCCTGTTTAAGGAGGATGCCGTGGTTGATCGGCAGGTGCCTCGCCTGTCGCTCCGCTTCGCTCCTCCAGTCTCGCAACGCAAGCTGCATCTCCGCCCAATCCGCCAGCAACCTGCAGTCTGCTGCAGTGTCGCAGCAACCACGCAGGAACTTGTAACAGGATCAACTCGGATCGCTCGTTGCGCAGGCAGAGCCCGCACGGCTGCCAGGTACCGTCCCTTGTATTTCAACTCCCTCAACTCCAATGCACGCAGCAGGCGCAGAACACGAATCAAAGAGCAGACAAACAAGAGCAGGGAAAAAAGAGTATGTAAGAAAGAAGCAGGTGGTGCAAGAACAGTTCGAAAGGGGGGCAGCACAGCGACCACTTCTGGCAATGCTGCAGAGGCGCCGAAAGTCAAAGACAGCAGTTGAAACAACATCCCTTGAAAATGCCATTCTGAGACGCGGCACCTGTCCATGCGCAGTCGCAGAGCTACGAGCACTTCGCCCAACTTTTGGAGGTCCAACGGCGCAGCGGCCGCCTCTCAAAGCCAAGAGACTGCCGAGGCGCATTCGTCCCACTCTCCGGTCCGCCGGTCCGGTCCCTCCTGGCCTCCAGGAGCTCCGCGCCTTCTCTTCTCCCCTCTACAGCCCTCCAGCCTCCCCTCTCCTCTCCTTCTGTGCAGCACACTCCATGTCTCCCTCTCTCTCTCTCGAGTGATGTCAGAAGGAGCCAAGTGTAAGGCTCCATTTATGACGCACAAGCGCCAACAGCTGCCCGCATCACGGGCATGAGGCAGCTACTCGCTGATGTCAGTTTGTCGCTGTGGGAGATGTCCGGCTGCGCAGACCCCTTGTCATCGCCTAGTCTTGTTGTGCAGGACATTCATGTGCCTGGAGGTCGCATTCAATCCGCCTCCCAACCCCTTCGGCTTGAGATATGAGCGGACATGCGACTCGGACTTCACATTGCAAATCGACGTAAGCAAGGAATAAGTTGTCCAGTTCCACAAGCGACCCTTCCGAGGAAGGTGACAGCAGCTGACTACCAATTGGCTGCACGAGAGAAATGTTCTGCGTCGTCGTCCAGCTCTCGAAAAGGATGGATGTTTTTGTGGTACTGTCTCCCTAGCAGCCCTGGGCGGGGGAGGTTCGGGGGCGCCTTAGTACCGGTCCGCGGTCCACACCCACCCTGAAGCAAGCCCCAAGCCCAGTCGACTGCTAGGCCGAGGATTTAGGGCTTTAAGGATTAAGACTCCGTTTCGTCTCGGTCTCCTTCTGCCTCCCCCTCTCCAGCTCCCTGGCCCTCTCCCTCTCCCGCTCCCTTTCCCTTTATTCCTCTGCCTTCACTCCTCTCGCTCTCCCTTCATCCCACTCCCTCTCACTCCCGCATTCCTCTTCCTCTCCCTTCATCCCTCCCTTCATTCCCCTGCTTTCATCCCTCTCCCTCTCCCTCTCTCTCTCCCTCTCACTCTCACTCTCTCGCTCGCCCTCGAGCGCCGCCCCAGAGAGGGAAGCAGCGTGTCGACGTGAGCCAAAATGGCCACTCTCACTCTCACTCTCTCTTCAGGTCGGATCCCCTCCCTGTTTTCTTTCACCAAGCTTGAGGGTGCGCCCCCGTGGTAGACGCCCGTCTGTTGGCGGTACGCATGGTATTACATGCCTTGCTTGCTTGCTTGCCGGGCGTGTGGGGTTGCAGGGGCAAGCCCTATACCCCCTCGCGCGCGAGCGCTACGCCTTAGTCCGACTTGGTGCTGGCCAGTCTTCCCAACTTTACCTACACGATTGCAGCTAGTCCCCGGCCTTGCTGACTTCGCATGAGTCTGTGTTTTCAGGCCGTGGGTATTCCACGTCGCTGCACCACGGCTACTTGCTTGGGTCTTCGAGGGGGCCCTTACTGTATTACATGCCTCTCTCTCTCTCTCTCTCTCTCTCTCGCTGTCTCTCTCTCGCCAGGGTGATCATGGTGGAGGGTTGTTGCCCGCCACCGCGCGCTTGTGCGCCCCCGACGGTTGCGGGTGCCAAGAGTTTCTGCCGCGCACATCAACCAAGGCATTGACTCCCGAAGATAACTCGAAGCAACACCGTCTCCCGTCCGTCGCATGTGTGCTGATGCAGTTCATAGCAGGTCTTTCTGCCATCAAGAACTCTGACCACTCGGCCGGACGACGAACATGCCCTCAATCCCTGTTCATTCCTCTGCCCAAGTTGTCAAGTGTGACACCGCTTTCGCCGCTATCAGTGCATCAGAGCCGTGCCCCTGCACGTGGAGTGCTCCACGTGGTCCGGTGGACCAGCGACTCCTCAAGACATGAGCCCCCCACAAGGACGGCAAGAGCAATCTTGGGCACTAGTCCTCTGGCAGGGTCTTGACAATGTCTGTACACGTGCCATCGCGAAAGGCACTGTAGAGTCAATGTACAGCCCAAGAGCAGACTTCACTCAACTTCACTCACTCCTTGGCAGGGCCCTGTAGTGGGGCACGCGCTCTGTCGGAACGTCCGAGGCTTCACTCCCCCTCTCGCTCTGTCTCTCTCCTCCGCGCCTTCCGGCCAGGCTTTCTCGTGCATTTGCCGCAAGAGCTGCCTTGGGCTGGCCGAAGCCCAGACCTTGGCATACACAAGGCGGCACCACGCGAGAGCCGGGTTTTGGGTTGGCCTGCGCCGCTGTCTCTGCCAGGTGGTCCTTGAGCTGCAAGAGACTTCTTTGGCCTTGCGGAGCTTTGTAGAACTCTGCCGCTCTCTGCTCTCTGGTCGGGGCTCGGGCTCTGCATCTCTGCCTCTTCCCGCAGCCTCAGAACCGAAGCGGCCTTTGAGTTCGAAGGCCCCGCACTTAAAGGGCCAGGGCCCCGCACGACGCATCGGCGAGAGCGACCAAGGACTCCCACTTCAGGTGCCCCTTCCGCGAGAAGCCATGCCGCCCGGGGCAGCCCTCTGCCCTCCTCTCTCGCCCCCTCTCTCTTTCGCTCCCTTCCTGGAGGAGCCGGTCGCTCCGCCGCTGGGCGGCCCCTGCTGAGGCCACAGCAGCGGACGAAGCCTCGGACGCCTCGGACGCCTCGGCGGCAGCCGCGTACGACCAGATCCATAGGCGAAGCCTCCACTGAGCAACAAAGACCGGACCCTTCCAAACGACGAGGTGAGCCGCTTAGGCCCAGGCGTCCAAGAAGCCATGGCTTGGGCCGGTTCCGCGGCTCTCGAGCCAAGGGCTGAGACTTCGGAGACGCGCTACCTCGACTGGACTGTTTGAAGTGGAGCCAAAACCCCCTTTTTTTCCAAAGCCCGCGCCGGCAGCACGACCCCGGCTCTGGCACCGCGCGCGAAGTCGTCGCCCTCGTCCACTCCGCTGCGGCTTGTTGGTGGCCGTGGGGTCTTGAAGTGTGGATCATACTCGGCCAGAGGGACACTGATGGCACGGGGATCGGGAGCTTGGGGCCGTAGGGCAGCAGATGGCGGAGATCTACTCAAAGCGCCGGAGCACCTCGCCGGGAAAAGCCAGCATCCGCGCGTTCTGGTGAACTTCGGGCCAGGAATCGAGGGGCTCTGGCAGGCTGAACGGAGGCTTTTGGAGGTCGTAGGACTTGAAGTTCTTCAGGCTCGCAGGCTCCATGGCGGCGAAGGCCGAGGAGCCACCGAAGCTCTCCAAGTCCTCGTTCTGCGAGTCAGGCCTCAACTGCGCATGGCGGCGCGGATGGCGGCGCGCATGGCGGCGCTGTGTCACGTCGGCTCAGGTTTCGGCCAGGAGGAGAGCACCACAAAGGCCGGCCTCGCCTTCCACAAGTTCGACAGCAGCCTCCAGGCCTGAAAGGGTCCCAGCCCTCAACAGCCCTCCCTCTCAGCACGCCCCCTCCTGGCCCTGAAAGGGCCCCGGCATCCCTGAGATTCAAATGCTGGAAGACCTTAACAGGGCAGAGAGGCCGCATCGGCATTTCGACCATGCTCTTGCGGGGGTCGGGACATGGCGCACCATCGCCACGGCATAGCCTTGCGGCAGGGCATCCTCCAGCTTAGGCACAACACGCACGAAGTCGCGAAGCAACTCCAGCTTGCGATGCGCAGCATGTCAGTATGCAAACAAACCTGCTGCATTCCTCTGAAATTCCATCGTGTCGCATGGTGCCGCCCTCATCATAGATCAACCCCCCCCCCCCCAAGATACGGTCAGGATGTCTTAGGAGCAGAAATAGATCTTGAAATAAGCTTCAACTAGGTGATTAAGGCTTATTTGGGATCACGCTGAATCAGTCACCATAGCCAAAGGTTCGTGTATCATGTACCGGCTGCATACGCGGAAGCTACCACTATCCTTGCGAACACAAGCCTCAAATGACAGTTTCTGTGAAAAAGTTCACAGAGATCATGGACTGAAGTTGATCCCGGATGCGCAGTCGTCTACCACAGTCACAGTACTCCAGACAACGGTGTTAACATGTCCATCTGTAGCGACTGCGGCTCGAAAAAAACGTAAATGCGAGCATTCCCCGTTGAGTTTGCAGGTCATCTCATCCACTATAACGCCCGGGCCACTCTTCGCATCTCTTGTCTCTCCACACTTGCACTTCCCTGCTTTCTCCTCCACACCGTCCGCCACCTCGAAACGAAGGTCGCTGTCGCGGTGCTTACTGCGCAGGTGCCTCGGTTCAGAGAGCCGCAGAGCAGCGAGGGCCGGCTTTAGCCCGGTGGCTCGATGGGTTGGTAGGCGATGTCCAAGCCGAGGTATTTGAATTTGCCCGCTGGGAGCTCTCCGGAGCGCTTTGCGGCCTCCAGGGCCTCCGGCACCCACCTAAGCCGAGCGACCGAGCGACGCCTCTCTCTCTTTGCAGATGGGCCCCCAGCTCTCCCCAGCCACAGCCCACGTCCAGCAGGGAGGTCACGCCACCTGCAGAAAGGGAAACCACCAACGCCACATCGCTCGGTTGCTCTCTATCCATGAGAGACCTGGCTGAACGTGGGCCAAGAATTGCACCAGGCGGGACGCGATCTGGACCGTGTGCTCTTTGGAAGAGCCCGAGCCGGATCTCCCACGATCGAAAGCGCAAGTGCCGCAAGCGTGCGCGAAATCCTGCTTTAAAAGCTCTTCAAAAAGCCCAGCCTCCCCCACCAGCCAGCCGAGTGGATCTCCTCGAAGGCCAGGCGCCGGAAGGATGCCAAGCCGCGTAGCTGGGACTCAGACGGCAGAAGGGCAGCAGAAGGGATGACCGAGGGCACCGGTACCGAAAAGTGGTTCTGAGCCGAGGAGCGTGGAGGTCCTCCAGAGAGCTCTTGACCAGCGCCAGGCGGTTCTGCAAACCGTTCCCCCGGCGCTTCAGGCGATCTCCCCAGCTCGCCACAGCCAACAAACCCATCTCGAAGACCCACTGAGCAGAGATCGCACGCCGCACCAACCCAAGCAGCCCTGGCCTCAGCCAAACGACCACCCCTCGGACAACCGCGCCCCAAATGTCAGACTGTACCCTGAACTCTACACGGATCATGATTCCGAGCCTGATTGAAGCTATCACTCGGCACCGAAGCTCGGTGAATGCAGATCAACACTTGTCAGAACGTCCCCAATTCGGTTGTCGAACATGTCAGGATGGAACTGCGGACAGTATTCTGATTAATCTAAGTTTCAACATTCTCGGTGCTGATATGTTCACCATCGAATCCGTTATTGGTGCCCAACTAGGAGTCTGATTATCACGGGAGATAGTAAAAACGAACACCCGATGCCAACAAAACCTATTTCCAAGATCGGAAGTGTTCACGAAAGAGCCTGTGTCATCGACGCCACAATACGTCATGCCAAACACGGCCTTGAGAAACGTAGCTGACGAGAGCACACGACACAAGGAAGGGCCACGGGCACAATCCTTGCATGGTACACAGGCTACATGTTCTTCCTGCCTGGCGAGCTCCGCTTTTGCATCGACGGCATGCAAGCCTGTCATTCACAAGAAAACATGAAACTCGAAGCGAAAACAGCAGTAGCAGCCGCAGGGAAACATTAGCATCTTTTTGCCGCGCGGCAAAACAAATCAAAAAGAGTCAGCTCCAGAGGCCCGGCTCGGGAGGACGCGTTGTGGTCATGACCAAGTGCGCTCATGCAATCCAAGCTGCAGACATGTATGCCCAAGGTTAGCTCAAATTTCGCACTAGTGTTAATTTGCTGTTGGATTGCACAAGCTTCGGTTCGCACTGCTGTCTCAGCATTGCTGTGGGAGTCTGATGCCACGAGTGCACGGTTAACTGGAGTTCCAAGCGTTGCTTGCTAAGGGCATCTGCCCACATCAAACTGGTTGGAATCCAATGAAACCGGTGGGCAGACACCCTCCTGGATGGCCCGAATGTTGACCAAAGAGCGCTTGTCGCTCAGGTTGGGCGTATCGCTGATCACCACGTCATAGAGGCTTTTGGCATCGGTAACAGATATGTTGTGCAAGCGGCTCCAACCGCAGTGGGCAGGGATGTCATACAGGACCTCACCCAAAACACTGAGCGGCACGACTTCCAGTCCACGATCATGGCGGGCACGGTCTTCTGAAGGACAGCCGCCGGGAACAAAACGACTAAAACCCAACATTGAGATCTGCTCTGCTCTGCGTTCGCCCAGCTTGCGTCGGAGTATGCCAGAATCAGCATCGCCTTGTTCAAGGGGACGTCGGGGATGATGAAGCCCTCGTCCTTGGTCTCGCGGGCGAAGTTGGCCGCCCGGTAGACGTCACGTAGGTTGGCAAGAGTAGTTTGCGCGCCATGGTTTGCCAAACCGCTGATGGCCGCCGACTCCGGCCGACACTGGCCGGCCACTCAAGCTCCTTTTGCTCGCTCGTGAGGAGCTGCTCCAGGTTGCTGCCTCGGCACTTTTCCAGGGTCGGGGCGTTCGGTGAACTCGCGCTGGCAGACGTGCAAGTACACCCGGCCGTCTTCCTGCCGTCGGAGGGTTAACTGCTTGCCCTTAAAAGTGGCCGTCTTGTCGATGTCGAACTCCTGCAGTGATCCCCAACCGCCCAACGGAAGGCCTTGGTGACCTCGGCGGTGTCGTAGTCGATGCGGTGTGCCCCGAGAAAGTCGTCCACATAGATGATGATACTTGAAATAGCTGGCCGCCACGGTACTTAAGGAAACCATCTTGTCAATGGGGTGGTAGCCGATGCCCTTGAACCGGGAGATCACTCTCAGGGCCCACAAGCGCGACGCATTACTGAGGCGGTAGATGTTGGTGCACACGAGGTACAGCGGCGCCTTCCAGCAGTCCGTCACCGCAGTGATGCCGTCCGCGGGGGGCAGCAAGTAGAGGGGTTGGTCGCACTCCGACACGGAGATCCCGCTTGCACAGGACCTTATCCTTTGGCCTGTTTGTGGCTCAGCGGTTGCACCGAACCCCATTCTTGCCAGCTTCGGCTTCCTTCGCCGTCACGGTTTTGAACGCCTCGATATGTTCGGGGGCCATGTCCAAGATCTTTCTCGATCGAGAGCTTTGGCTTCCGCTCGTCTGAGCAGGCGGTTGCTTGGTCGTCCTGTCACTACTGTCCACGTCGGCCGCGTTCTTGCCAGAGTCCTTGACGTCGTCGAGGCGGTGTGCCGAGTCGAGGTAGATCTCGGTAGAAGCTGAGATTGCTGGTCATAGGCGCGTGGGTGCTCTCGAGCCACTGGATACCGATTGCACTGGGACCGGTTGTGGCACGGGAGGTTCTTCTTCGAAGCCTTGGAGGTCGCTCAGCAGACTCGAATTGGGCAGTTCAGGTAGTACTTGCGGTAATGCTGGTTGTTCTTGGGATGCTTCCGAGCCTAGGGCGTATCCGGGACCGGCGGTTCTGGTACGCGGCAGCGCGTGCTATTCTTGAAGTCTTCCTCAGCGCCGCTCTCGGCGTCCTCGGCACCGAGGTCGCCCTGCCATCGAAGCGGCTCTCCGTGCTCCTTGCGCGGGGTCTCCAAGGCGAGCTGTGTTCAGTTGATTCTGCTGGACGATGGTCTCACAACGGCCTGGTTGTGTTGGGTCATCTGCAGAGATGAGGTCCCGGCGGCGGTGTTGCCGGTGCGGGCAGCAGCCATTGCGCGAAGTGCCCGGCCTAACCCAAGCGAGCTTCCCGAGTGAGCTGGGGCCCCAGCTCAAGAACTTGGCTGTTGCCCAGCCGCTTTGTTTCTAGTCGGCACAGGGCTGTCCCGGCTGCGCCGCAGCATCAGTGGTTGGAGTCTTTGTGAAGGCAAAGCTATCGCTGATGTGACTCCCGGCAACCGTAAAGCTGCATCTTCTCAACGAAAGTCTCGACCATCTTTTCTCAGACGGCCCTTAGAAAGGCATTTTGCCTTTCTATATCTTGCCCAAGGGCGGAGCCAGGTCCTTTCTACTCCTCGGGGTCTCGAAGGTAGAATGGTCGCCAGCGCCGCCTATAGTTTTGGCATCCGCCACCCAAGCACGATCTCCGGCCTCACAGGCGCCTCGACCAGCCCGGACATGTAATGTCGGTCGGCAATCCAGCCACAGGAACTTCTGGCGTGGCTCCTTGGGCTGGGCCGTCATCATCCTCAATCAGGCGCATATACGCACCAAAATGGCACACCTCACGACCTTGGCAAACCGTTGCTTTGGTTGTTGTATCCACTTCAGGTTCTCGACTTCCACGGTGCGGGCCCCGTCCGCACACATGAGAACAAGCTGCGGATCCGTGTAGGGGATGCCATTGTCATCCTCCCTTGGGTCGGTGTTTGCACGCACTGAATCTTTGCGAGGCGCAACCGGAAGACGTTGCCGATCTTCTTGCCGACCTGGCCCGCCCGGCCCACATATAAAGGCCTGGAACTGGAGCCGGGCACGATAGGTGACGAGGTGTCGTAGATCCCGAACTTGAGCGGTTCCATGTGGTCACATAGAGAGCAACATGTTAATTTTGAGGAGTGCTCCCCGAAAATCGTCGTAGTGGTCGCGGTCGCCATGATGGCCACTATGGCAGGGCTTCGATTCAGGGACGTTCGTGTAGAGGTAGGTCTGCAGGTCGTGAACCAGGCGAACTGTCACGGGTCAGTGGCTTGGAAGGGTTGGCCGGCTCGGGTCACGATCACCTAGGCTTGTCCTGGCGCGGCCTGTTGGTCGAAACCTTGATGAAGCGTTGGTTGGGGAAGGGAAGGCCGTCAAGAAGTCCACCGTACAGGTGGGGGCCGCCTGGCTGCGCTATAGCTGCTGCGTCATAGATTCCACGTCCATCTCCCAGCCCTCACCAAGCCGTTGAGCCGTTTCAGCTGGCCTGCGCACGTCTCGGACTCCTCGGCTTGGGGCAGCTTCCAATGGTCCAGTTCGCAGGGATGTCCTGGTACAAGGCTGGGACGCTCTGCTGCTCCATGGGGCCGCCTGCGACCCACTCGGACTTGCGGTCGTTCCAACGCAGCGGCGGTGGCTTGCACTTGGCAAACTTGCCGTACGCGTTGCCGTTCCTCGTGCACTCTGGGTGGCTGCAATGCGGCTGCAATTGCTCTGAGCATGGGCCACGTCCAGTGCCGGGGGAAAGCCCTCGAATACCTCAACCGAAAGGATGTTGAGGTTCACCGCGGCCGCCAGGCTCATGAACACCTGCCTCCGGAAGTGGATCAGGTGCCCCACCACCTCTGCCTAATCTTCACATGACATGGTTGCTAAAGTCAGTGACGCAAACAAGTCGGGTGACCTCCGATCTTACACAGCGGCACAGTCACTGTCAACTTCTCGAACTGATCCCGGTCACGGGGAAGGGCAAGAATCCTGCTGGCATGTGTGCCTGTCGAGCTGCCGCTCTCCTCGGCCGAACTGGAAAGCATCCGTGCATGAAACCTGGCGAGCTCGGACACCAGGGTTGTAAACCCACTCGACACCGCCCAGCACCATCATCTGGGAGAAGTCGGCCGGACTGGTCGGCTTGGTCCTGCACCTTGAAGTCAACTTTCACCTGGTGAGGAGGCTTCCGGGACTTGTCAGGTCGGCCAAGCCGCCAATGAGGAAGCCTACCGAGTCCCGTCCTCTTTCAGCACAGGGGCCGCCGTCCTGAACTTAGGGTACTGCATGACCATGCCGTGGTCAACGTCGTCGAAGTTCAGGGCCCTAACAAGGATGAGCCTTGGGTCCGCCTGGGTTAGTCGTGCTCTTTCCAAGAGCCCGTTGCCCCGTGCCTCCTCATGTGGCTCCGGCTCTGAAACCTCATATATCTCGATCTTCCGGGCCGAGGTGCGGAGTTCCGTCACATCGTACTTCCACAGTGGCTCGGCGGGGGCCCCACCTCTCCATCTGACGTTCTTCTCTGGTCCCATCCGGATGTTCCAAGAAGCAGTCTCGGCCTTGCTTTTGCACTCTTCGCCTCATCCAAGGTGAGGTGCTGTGGGTGCTCCGGCAGCCGACCTGCTGCGCCGCGGCGCCGCGGTCTCTCTCGGTTTGCACAGTGCTCATCCTTCGGCTCGCGTCGGCTGGTCCACTGGGGAGGCACATCTCATCAACTCTGGGTAGGCTCTGGTCCTGGGTCAGCTGGGGCCGCTTCAGATTCAGAGGTCCGAACCGAACAAGCTCCGTTGTCAACCAGAAACATTCGCATCTTTTTGCCAGGTGGCAAATCAAAAGAGTCAGCTCACGGGGCCCGGCTCGGGAGGACGTGTTGCGGTCATGACCAAGTGCTCATGCAATCCAAGCTGCAGACATGCATGCCTAGGTTAGCTCAAACTTCACACTACTGTTATTTTGCTGTTGGATTGCACAGGCTTGGGTTCGCACTGCTGCTTCAGCATTGCTGTGGGATTCTGATGCCACGAGTGCACGGTTAACTGGAGTTCCACAGAAACCACCGGTGACCAACCTTCCCGGCCTTCGGACGGGCCGAATTGCGTGACAACGGCCTCCACAAGAAGACTGTGTTCCTGATACGGGAGTTGGTCTCTTCTACGATATTCCAAGCACTCGCAGCACGATGAGATGGCAAACAATAAGATGCCTTTCCTGCAAAACGGAAGCAGGCTTCGATTGTCCGTACATGTCGACAACCGTTAAGACATTCTCCCAGTCCAGGCTTCAAACGGTGTGACGAGTTGCTGCAATGCACAACCACCTACTGACCTACTGTGATCCGATTGGGGTTCCTTCTCCACCTCCTTCTCGTCCAAACGTGCTACCTGAGCAGCTAGCTGCACAAACCGACCAAGACTGCTAACAGCAGAGCGAAAATTGCATGCTGGCCGAGCCCGAAGAAATAAGAACATATCTAAAACCATGCTGCATCTCCGAAGCATGCTCCGCGCTTTGCCGGCAATGCGGCACCAGACATAACAAGCATCACTTTGCCGGCTGAGGAATCGACCGCCTGGAGGGTTTCGAGAAGCTCAGGGTCCGGAGTTGGATTGCGAACCGCGCTTTCGCAGCACTCAGCGGTGCGATGGAGGAGGTGACTGAGTTCTTCAATGCCTGGAGCAAGAAACGAAGGCCTAGCAAAGCTCAGAGCTCAGAGCTCCCTGGCTCTCCCTGCCGTCTAAAGTCTGAAGTACACCTCTGAGGCGAGCCACGGCTGATGTTGGGTGCGGCGGCAAACTGCCTGCCAGCACAGGCAGTGTCTGCATGAGCAACAACAAGACCCTACGCCACAACATAACGCGAGTGGGTATTCTTGAATGTCGTCGGGGATCCTGCCTGATCTGAAGTTCACGGAAGACCACCTGAGGCCTCCCACTGTCCAACCACTCCGACAACCAGCCTGAGCCAGGGCGCCAAAGCCCTGCTGCACAGCACAAACGGATCCCACGGACCTTCCAGGCTGTCGAAACTTCGGACCTCAAAGCGAAGCGGCGAACCGAAGGGCCTCTCCACGAAGCGGATCTCTCTTGGGCACAGGGGCCCCGGCGAGGAGCTCGCAGGGGTCAGGGCCGTTGATCATCCAGGAACCTCGAATCCCCGTGCACCAATCCAACTCTGTCTCCTGCGAGAGCTCGCTGTCCTGCCATCTGCCATCTGCCAGCTGCCAGGGGTCTCAACTGCGCAGCAATCGCCAAGGCCCCCTTCAAGGCCTCCACGATCTTCCTCATGTCTCTGGCATCTGCTAAGAGGCTCCCCAGCTTGACGCCGAGGAGTCCTGACAGCTGACATCGAAACTCTTGGATTCTGCGTTTCTGGCGTTTCTGCTTCTCGGCCTTCGGTGTCAAAGGATTCTCCTGCAGGGATTTTCCTTTCAGGTGCCGATCGCTCTTCGCCCGCGGCTCCTGCGAACGTCGAAGCCCGGACCTCCGAGCGTCCGAGCATCCAGCGCTCGCAAGAGGGGCGCTCTCTCGCTCTGCGGTGCTCTGCTTCGCTCTGCAGCTGGGGCCCCGGCCCGAGCTGCCGCCTCGAGCCGCCCCGGCCCCGCCTTTGGCCTTGTCAGGGCCTCCGCAGCGTTGCAGCGACGGTCACTCCCCAAGTCTCCCCACTCGCCCGCGGCCTCCTGCAAGCATCTCGCAAAGTTGGGGAGACCCTGCAACAGCCCAAGCAGCACCGCCGCCTTTAAGGAGCACGTGCCGCTCTCAGCACTATGCAACGTTGCATAAACAAGTCCATCTCGAGAAAACCTGCTCAAGCAGGCTCAGAGCATCATATTGATGCTAGACAAGCGGACCATATCACACGGACACAAGACCATGGTCAAGTCACCAACAATGCAGTCAGGTGCCAACGACGACATCTATCCACATTACATTTTCCCTTTGAAGCAGGCATGCACGGTTGCATCAAGTTGTTTACACAGGCAGGGAAATTGGCTCACCTCACGCAGTCACCACTCGATCAAATTGGAACTGCATGTCTTAGCCCGAGAGACACTGGCCTCTGGAGCTCTGCAGCTTCGCTCAACGACTCAACACTGCTTGAAGCAAACCCGTTGCGCACACTTGCATGTCTTGAAAGCTTCACGTCAGGTTTGAATCTACACCAGCCGGGAAAACAGCAAAGCACAGCATCCCGCGCCTGCTTCAAGACCTGCGAGGCCGGCAAAAGCGTGACGAAGAAAGAGCTCCAAGATGGTGTAAGATCTGGGCAATCTCCAAATTCACCGCCATCTGACGGCTTTGACTCGCCAACTCCTCTCAAGTCCGCTGCGAGAGCGAAACTCAGTCACTCGCCGCTCCTTGCGAAGCTGTTCGAGGCTGTCTTGCAGATCGCTCCAATCTTCTTTGAAGGTGTTGTAAAGGTTCTGCACACCCGTCAGGACCATACCTGCACGGCTACACATCATCGGCTCGCGCTTTTGCTGCATCTGCAGGCCCCACCTATGGAGGTAAGGGACGTAGCCTCCGCCGCCTGCAAGAAGGCGCCGCCCTGCGGCCAGCGGCTGAGCACCACCTGCAGCCTAGGGCGAAAGCTTTCAGCGCGAGCGAAGCGCGCGAGCGAAGCGCGCGAGCGAAGCGAAGCTCAGCGGCTCCAACTCCTCTGGCGAGGCTGCGGACCAAACCTGCAGCCGCCGGGCTCAGCGACGCAACTGACCGCGACCGCGTCCGCGTCCGCGTCCGCGACCGCGACCGCGGGGGGGCCCGGCCCGGCGCTGGGAGCGAAGGAGCCGATGGCGCAGCGCCGTCAGCTCCAAGTGCAGCGCCAGCTCCAAGCTCTCGCGAGCCACCGCCTCGCGGAGCGAGGCGGCAGCGGAGCGGCGGAGAGCACCGCGGCGCATTCGCGACGATCCGGCTCGGCCTCGGCCTTCGAGCGGCGGCTCTCCGTGGCCAGGTGCCGCTGCAGCCGCTGCCGCTGCCTTCGGCCCGCTGCAGCTCCTCGGAGCTCGGAGCGCCGCAGAAAGTGCACTGCTGCGCACTGCTGCACTGCTCGAGCTGCAAGCATCTCTGAGGCTGCGACGCCCGAGCTCCCTCTGACCCTCCTGTCTCTCACAGCCGAGCTCAGATCACCAAACGCTGCCGGCTCCTTCGAGAAAGTCGGAGCGGCCAGGCGTAACACCGGCAGCCTCGTTTCGCAGTTGGAGCAGAGAAACCTTCTTCAAAACAAAACCGTGCTGCAACAAGGCACAGGCACTGCCAACAGCACTGCCGACTGCAACATTGCTCTGCAGGACTAGGAAGAGAGCGGCTGCAAGAGGCTAGTGATGTTTGCTGCCACATACTATGCTAAGCTGACAGAATCCGCTCCACTTGAGACCGACGACATCTCTGACCTCAGCAGCTCCGGTAAGCAGCTTCCCTGAGTTCACGAGCGACAAACGCTTGCTGTGTGAAAGGGCTTCAGGCGTGAGCATCTCATGAAGTTGAACGGCCACGCTCAAACTATGCAGATGTTGTTTCTTTCCCGCTCGCACCGTGCTTTCGTTGGAGGCGGATGAATAGCTTGGAACGGCCATGTATGGCCACTTGGCATCGCTTGGTAGTCAGTATGCAGCCACGGGAGAAGGGCTCCTGTCCGCCCTGAAGAAGGGATTCTTCACCTCGAGACGACAGGGTCCGGTCCCGGCGGCGTGCAGATGTGCTGAAACCCAGCACCGAGCCGAGCTCGCAGCTGGGTTTGGATTTTTCATCGGTCCAGGAGGGTCCGGAGACGGTGTTCGCTCCTTCTTATTCTTCAGCATCATCATGCCGGGTCCTCCAAAGCTCAAGGGCTCAGGCAGGGCGGTGCTCCGCCGAGATTCGGTCCTCCGGAAAACTCGCTGGCGCGCTCCTCACGACGCCGGTCCCGTGCGCGGGAGCGGCTCCGAGACCGAGGCCCACCACCGCCGCGGCCCATTTCCCTGACAAGGACACAAGAAAAAACGTCTCGAGATCCCGCTTCCGCTTCTCTGAACTCAGAAATCTGACAATCCGTGGCTCCGCCTCACCAGGCGCCGAGGGCTCGGGCTTTTCGGGTCGTTCCGGGATGGGAAGTTTGCACGTGGGGCCTCATCTAAAAGCGCACGATTGAGCAGCATGCAAGTAGACCAACACTCTGGCCCCAGGACGCCGGCATCTGAAGGGCTCCTCTTCCGCCGTGGGGGGCTCGGTCCTGCCACTGCACCGTGGAACTGTTGGGATTTCCTCTCCATCCTCCGAGTTGCTGGCGACGACGTTCCGGGCTGCGGCGCACGGGGGACCGGGCACGGTTCCGGCCGTAGAGGCGCGGCGGGCTACGACTGCGAGGCCGCCTTCGGTTCTGTCAGACTTTCAAGAACTGCACGCGATTCGACGGAGAGCCGTCCTGGGCGGGCCGGAGTTGGAGATCGCCATTGGGCCTCGGCTCTCACGGACAGCATGGCCCAAGCACTGTGCCACGTGACACCTCTCTGAGGCAAAGGCCATCATTGCCCTTGGGCCCACCAGCCGGACCAACCCCGACCTGGCGAAGGTTGAAAATCGCAGGTCGAAAGAGTGCGAGCCCTTCGGATCGATCCGAGTAGCCGGGAAGCCATCAACGAAAACCTGGCTGGCTTTGAGGGCAGCGTAGGCACGGTCCTGCAGCAAGCGCCACCAGGACCGGACAGGACCGCAGCAAGGCTACAGCTTGGCTGCCGGCAGCTGCTTCTTGTGTCGCGAAGCGCACATTAACAAAGTCCTGCAACTGTCCGGTGCCAAGGCCCTGCCCCTTGACCTGCCTGGCCCTGGCTTCCCAATTCCGATATCTTGTGTTTATCTTGTGTTTCCTCCGGTCATAGTTTGTCTCTGTTCATCTCCATTTCAAGCATCTCAATCTGACCCTTTGCCTCAACATACGCCTCCGGGCTGCTCGCATTCCCCTCCCTCCCTCTAACTTGCCAGAGTGTCTTGCAAGAATGTACAGCAAGTGCCTCACCGGGGATTCCGGAATAGGGCGGCTTGTGGCAGTGGATGACCTCATCCAATCAGCGGATCTTCTGCAACGAAGCTCCACAGGAAGGGCTTATTTTCCCACCTCCCCGAACTGTGCCATTGCTCTCGTCATCCCGACGCGGCTGTGCTGGGGCATGATGCCTGAGTGCATGGACAACGAAGTTGAGACATAGAGCACGACACCTTTGAGGTTGGGCCCCGACCCGTGGTGATTCGCACCAGTGCCGACATCTTTCTATGTCCGGCTTCCTTTTGCGATAATTTAGGTGAGAAACAAAACGCATGAACGCAAACAACAAGCGAGCCTTTTTTGGTTTCCAAGTTCGCTAAGATCCACCAAAAGTCGTCATGAAGATTCAAGTTTGGTGCAGCCTGCGGTGCTTCTTGCGCATCTGTTTGATGGGAACACAAACCACAAAGAAATGTGCTTGCGGGTGAGATGCCGTACACTAGACAGACCACTCGGCAGGATCGAGCCGCGAATTGGCCGCACGGGTCGGCTGCAGACAACGGACTGGTTTACAAAGCCTGGCAAACACATGCGAAAACGTCGTACAATCCAACTTGCATCTCAGCGATGTGTACTAGCTGCCTTGGAAGCTGTCTTCCACTCGCACTCGCGGGCCATCAATGTTTGTTTAAAAGCATCTCACACCGGCACACGGACAACGAATGCGGCAAAATCACATCCATTTTCGACATATTGCAACAATGGGTCAAATGGGCGACTGTGCGAACATCGATATCTTGCAAGTAAAAACCAACTGATCACAAAGCACGCTGCAAAGCAGCAGTGGAAGACTCCCTTTCCCACAAGAGCGAAACCGACTACACTCAGACGACAAGACATTTGTGATCACCATTAACAGAGCTTTTCGTACTTATTCACACTTTGGCTCGACTGGTCATAACGTAATAGCTTCGTTCACTCGTGTTGGAAAACCAAGTGTTAGAGCATCGTAATCGCCGTCTTCAATCTTCCCACAAGTTACTCCAAAAAATAATGATTAGCAACATTGTGTGTAGACTCGAAATGTGGTCATCTAGCGAGCTTAAGACATGGCTCATATGAGATGCACCAATCAGTGATTATGCACAACATTATTGTCTATGATTGGCTCGGTCAATCAATGGTTTTTCTTTCATGGGCGTTCAAAGGTCGGAAGTCTGTATCACACAGCACACTTCAGTACCCTATGAATGCACTGACATCAGCTGAATGTCTATCTGAAAGTCAAATGGCAACTGCACCTTGACGTTTGAAGTACACATGGCAATGACATTTTTTTGGTCGCGCCTACGCAACTCCCACGCCGCACGACTCCAAGGAATCTTCTCCGGTTGTTAACACACTGTATACATTCTGGTGTATATACAATCACATATCGACCAGCATACATCTACATATACATATACCTATGCAGAGCTTTAGAGAGGGAGGTTGCATGTATATGTATATGTCATATGTATAATGTATAGGTATAGGCAAGGACGCGCAGCCTTTCCCCAGCTGCGCCCGTAAGGTATGTGTACAAGAGTCATCGGCATCGTAGCTTCAGCAATAAGCAGCCGAAGGGAAGAGCAGTGAACGGCACACAGGACCTGATATCCACCTTTAACGAGCGGCTCAACGGCCAGCGGACCAGAGGGCGTTGGCGCCGCAACGCAGCTCGAAAGCGCAAGAACCGCTGCGTGGAAAAGAAGGTCAACCTGGGGAAACCAACAGCGGAAAGAAGAGAGCACCTGCAGCTGCTACTCGTGCACGAGCTTGCTGGTAGCTGGGTAACACAGAAATTGCCGCAGCTTCTTGAATGTAGTGCTCCAGCGGCGAGGAAACACTGCTCAATCGCATTCTCCACATGATGTGTTGCAGATTCATGTCTGACTTGTACATCCAAGTGGCACCGCCGCCACGCAAGCCCCCAGGCGTAAGCTTCAAAAAAGAAGGCAGGAGCAAGTTGTCAAGCAAGATATCCCACCTGCAACGAAACGAGGAAGTAGAACGACGGAATCGAGGAACAGCACAAAGGCTAGATCTTTCACACAGATGTGTTTTTTTGGCGTCGGCGGGCCTCGTTGGCTGAAGCTGCAGCGCTCGGACCCAGTAAACTACGGACAAACCAACAAACACACAAGAAAACAGCGGTGAAACGGAGTAACTAGAGAACGAGGTTACGTACCTGCTGCAGCGTGCGAACTTCGTCAGCATGAGCTGTTCAGCATATAAAAAGGGGGCCTCGCTCAGCGACTCAGCAGAGGTGACTGTGGACCGTCATCCAGAGGCACCCAAGACAACGAGTGGAGCCCAAGACCAAGGCTCCGGCAGCCGTTCTAGTCCCGTCGGACGGTCTACCCTCGTGTCCTGTTTATAAGCGAGTCGTGCACACCAAAGTACAAACAAAAGTCCAAAGACAAGTGGCATATGGTGCAGGGCAGGCAGGCCGGCAGGTTGGGTGGGCTGACATCAGTATGACCTCCCTCACCCCCATTGCGCGCGGTCGGGCGCTGGCGTAGCATTGACCGCCAAGGGTCGCCGCGACTCCTACTAGAAGGGGAGAAGGCGATGACGGCCTATTGATGCCGCGGAAGGCCAGGCGGCGGCACTGTCAGCGGTTGAAGGTCCCTGCGGGGCCAGGAGTCCAGCTCGTCACGAAAGGCATAATGCGGGTCAATGAAGGCATCCTCACAAGGGGAGTACAAGAGACGAGCCTTGTTGTCCTTCCAAAACTTCCGGAGATCACGTATATTATGCCGGGACCTAGCCTTAGGCGCCGCATGAAGCTGCGGCATGAGCTGCGGGGTGATGAAGATCTCAGGAAGGCCTGGTCCACAGTCCAACACCCCCTCGTCCAAGAAGGCCTGCCCCTCCTGGCGCCACCTTTCATGGGCTGGGTAGGGGCCAAGGGCATACTCGTTCGGAAGGTCCCGGTAGGCCTCACTTTCTTGATCGAAGCTCTCTACAACTGCGTGCATGACTTTGGCCCGGACATCCTTCAACTTGCCCCGCCGGTGCGGGCAGGGCGCCCGGTCCTGCCTGCTAGAGAGGTCTTCTGCGACCGTGCACAGTGCACTAGCTCCTATATCCCACCACCATCCCCGGACTCCACCAGGACGATAGTAGTAATAGTCATAGTTAGCTTGCGAGCTAGCCGAGCGACAACCAAACAAGGCAAACACACTCAGCTAGCACTGACGGACTTTTTGTCTGAAGTGGCAACTATCCCAGGTTGCCTGGAGATACCCGATAGCCTTCGGCTATCTATCCCCAGGGTGGGCAGGGCGGGTACTTCAAAATTACCCCCCTGATGGGGGACTTTATCCAGAATGGCCACGGTCACAAATGCTTGTAGCCATTCCAAGTCACAGCTATCCTGTCTTCGCATGTCAGACGCAACTATCCTGCGAACGACGATAGCGATCGAAACTTCGTTTCTAGCGAAGCTACCTTCAATAGCTTCGTTAGCAATAGGTTAGCTAGCACACATAGTCGTAGCTCGCCCCTCGTCACGAGGTACGTGCACTAGCTCCTATATCCCACCACCATCCCCGGACTCCACCAGGACGATAGTAGTAATAGTCATAGTTAGCTTGCGAGCTAGCCGAGCGACAACCAAACAAGGCAAACACACTCAGCTAGCACTGACGGACTTTTTGTCTGCAGTCTGAAGTGGCAACTATCCCAGGTTGCCTGGAGATATCCGATAGCCTTCGGCTATCTATCCCCGCGCATCGCCACTCAGGCTACCAGGGATCTAGCTTCCTGGCCTTTCGGCTAAACTTCGACATCCTATCCGGAGTCGCTCGCTTTCGCATGCCTAGCTCCTTGTAAAAGCTATCGGCATGCGCGAGTAGCCGGCCAAGGACCCGCCACTCGAAGTTCTCCCCTTCAGATCTATCCTCTGAGCGGGGTCAAACTCCTTGAATTCCTCGTTGGTGAGGTCGTCTGCTAGCTGGTTGATGTCACGCCGTATCCACTGGAGCTGTAGCTCACAGTTCTTCTGGGATAGCTCTTCGGCTACCTCCATTAAACTTAGCATGGATGGATACTTGGTCGTCATAGCCTTCTTCACAAGTGCCTCTTTTTGCTTGTTGAGTGCTCGCGCCGCCTGTGTAGGCACAAACGACGTGTCAGAGGGTCTCAAGCAAGGACGAGAGCACCTGTACTGTACCACACGAGCTCACGTTTACACTAAGTGGTGCATGCCCGGCGGTAGCCGAAGTCCTTCGCTGGGACTAGCACTCTGGTGACAAACTTTCCGCCATGCAAACAGTTGTACACCACACAGCAGGAAAGTATCAAAAACGACCGGAGGGCTCGGGGTGTACAGTAGAGCCTCCTCAGGACATGGGCACTTCCCAAGATCCAAGTCGGACTAGGCACTTTACAGAAAACGCAGAGTTAAGGTGCTTACAGACCTTAAACGGAGCCAAAAGCACAAGTGCAGCTCCAAGAACTCAACATTCCTTACACTCAGATGTACAGTGTCCAAGTGAAGGTACAGGCAGAGCCCAACACTAGTTTACAAGAACTGTACACGAAGCAAGCAGTCAGGTTTCACGACGACGTTCGAACTCAGGAGACGTCGCTGCAGCCCAGACGGCAGCCCAGGTCACAGCGGCTCGAAGAAGCCGCTCAGCGGCCCACCAGCGCCAGCAGCCCCAGCCCAGAAGTGAGTCCGCAGAGCGACTCAAACACAAGGCAGAGGGGTGCCCGATGGGCCAGAAAAACCAGTCGAAGTAGCAGAGAGGCCTTCCCAGGTCACAGCGGTGCGAAGCAGCAGCACAGCTGCCCACTAGCGCCAGTAGCTCCCGCTCCGAAGTGAGTCACAGTAAGTCCAGCCTTCCGTTGAAGGAGAGCTCCGGCGACCCTCAAGCTTACAAAGAGGCACTCGCCCCAGGCCAGCAAGCACCCTCAGACGCAAGCGGGTGGGGGAGGACTAAACCCTAAATTAGGCCCCTTGGGGGAGGCCCTGTGCGTTAGGCAGGCAGCGACGGACCTCCCGAGGAAGGGCCCTGATACCTTTGAGGTGCTCGTGCAGCCGCTCCGCAGCCTTGGCAGAAGCACAAACAGCAGTCACCTCCCACTCCTTTGCCGTAGCAGCCTCAGCATGCCACCTTTCACGAAGCGATCCACGCAGGCGCCTGGCAACACAAGCCTTGGCCGCTTGATCCGCCGCTGAGTTCAGGGATCTAAGGTGATCAGCTGTCAAGGCGGGGTGCTCCGGTCGCCAATTCAGATGTCTCCCGTGAGCAGGAACCCACAAGAAGGTCAAAGTGACACCCTGGGCCCGAACAGCGGCTGCAAGGGACGATAAAAGTGCCCCAAACAGGGGCATCGCCTGGCAATTAAAACGAGCCTTTAGCGCCGCTGTGCAGTCGGCTGCAACAAAGACGCGGCCTCTGGAGCCGCGTTTGGCCGCAAACAGGACAGCCTCAAGAGTGAGTCTTAAACCGCACATCTCGGCTCTGAAGGATGACTGGTCTTCAGCATTATCAGCACCAGCGAAGACTTGATCAGGTCTGTTGACGACCGCCGCATGCGCCGCAATTCCATTTTTTGCAGAGCCATCGGTGGCAATGACAATGTGATCAGCACACTGCAGCTCGGTCGCAATGGTCTCGGCGAGCTCCTCAGTGAGTCCAGTGATGTCAACAGCCGGAGGCGGCGGAGGCTGTTCTGGAACGTGTTTGGATAGAAGGGGCCTTACATCCCCACACATACAGCTGCAGCGCTCAGCGATTGCGTCCTGCGGGGCAGCAGCATTGTAAAACCATGTTGTGCCTCCTGAAAGGAAAGCAGCTCGGCGGTTATACTCAGAGGAACGATCATTGAGGATGACGCGGTGACCCTGAAACGTTACCCTGTATCCCGGCGGGGGACTCGGGAGATCCAAGCCTTGCGCGAGATTGGGTGCGTCAGGTCTGTGCAGAGATTTGGCAATGCGACGGCACCTCAGCAGAAACTGCCCTCTATAAAAATCCTCCAACCACCCTTTCAAGACCGAAAAACTTTCAAAGCCAACACAAACTTGTCGGAGGCCTCCACTGGCATCTCTCCGGAAAATGGTGTCGGCTCGGGCATTTGTCCACCACCCTGTCTTATAGTTAAACTGTAAAACCCTGAGCGGTCACGCTTTTACTCTTGAACCAAAGGCGCTGCGTCGGTCACATAGTATACAGCTATACAATACTATACCGTAGCCTGGGCTCACCAAAGGTGTGGGGCGTTCCTATGTACAGAATTCAACACCCTGCCTCGAAGTTCTTGTGCTGTACTTCGATCGGTCCGCGGTCGGGCATACCTCCGCCCGTGACTGCATAGGCTTAGCCATTGCAAGTCCTTGGGTTAAACACTCCGTGCAACCCACCTTTTGACCGTCCCCCAATTAAGGAGGTGTGTCAGACCGTCCTTGTCCTGACTCGTACAGTAACAAGTACTTCGTCCTAGTGAAACATTCCACACAAACTTTCCTGCGTTAGCGCTCATCCTTCTTTTGCGCTTTCGCTGCTGTGTGTTCCGAGGTGAAACTTTTTCAGTCTTGCCTACACTCACTGCTCTGTCCCATACTCGTACACGATGTAGGACTTACTGACTTCCGAACAACGTTCTTTCTTCCATGCTGTCCGGCGTACCGGGATCTACATCCATCGGCATCTCCGATCCTTGTCCGCGTTCTTCATACGTCTCATTGCACTGTCTGCAATACTCTTCATACGATTCCTGTGCTTCTGGGGATAGCATCATGTTCCCCATCTCTTCCACACTGATCATCTTTCCGCGGTACTCAATCTTCTCCGGCTCCTTCTTCCTTTCCGGTTCTTCCTGAATTTCCGGTGAAACAACTCCTTTCAAGGCTTCCATTGCACGAACGTAGTTTTCATCCCTTATCTCAGCTTCCTTCCGAGTCACTCCTGAAATGACTCTGCTTCCACGTGCGTGGTCTTCCTCACTGATTATCGGCATACGTGTTCCGTCCGTATGTACGATTGCTGGCGTGCCCATTGCTGCTCTTCCACGTCTCTTCAGGGATCCTTTACCATTGCCACTCTTCTGTCCGGCATTCCATGCATGCTTTGCATCGTCCGTTACACGGGTCTCTTCTTTTTCCGTGGCATCCCAAGATCCTTCTGTCACAGTTCTGTCATAACTTTTCCTCCATTGTTCCATTGCATACGTCTTGATGCATTCCGTGCAAGAACATTTCTGGTGGTTTACCTTCTCCCTTGTACACTTCCGGATTCCGCACCAGTAGCACTGCTTTGTACATCCGCCAGTTGACTCTACTTCGAAGTCAAGCTCCATCACTTCCCAGTCACTTTCGTCTGGGATTGGCGGCTCTACGCGTCCACGGCGTTTTCGCATTCTTCCTTCTGGCTTCGTCTCCGGGAAACAAACCCAACAGTGTCTGTAGCCATCCGCTACAGCTTCACTTTCTTCTTTCCAGATCCATTTGCCAGATCGCATATGGCTTCCTTGAACATGCCAACATGTTCCCTTGTGAAACACGCGGGCCTTCGACCCTGTCGATATTTTCACCATACCGACTCCTTTGATCTGGTCCACAGTTCGCATAAACTTCTTCCACATACTGATTGCATACGGGGCTGCCAGTAGCATTACGCATACGATCATGCCGACCTCGAACTTCGTGAATCCATCCATGGCTTCCAACTGGCTTCTGCTCGGGCGTCCACTACGTCCTCCTTGAGCATTGCTGCGGTAATCGGCTTCATCAAATGAAATACCTGTATGGCTCTAATGAGGTTCTTGATTTGTCCACTTCCGACATACTCCTTCAACTTCTTCTCTTGTTCATGCTTTTCATACTCTTTCTCTCCGGTGTACTCCAAGTTTCCTTCTTCATCATACTCTACTTGAGACAAGTGATACAGTAGAAATGACCTTCGGGCATATGACAACTTCTTGGTGTTCAGATCCGCTACATTGAGCGCGGTTCGCACTGTACCAAGTT